GGGAGGCTGAGGCAGGAGGATTGCTTGAGCCCAGGGGTTTGAGGTTACAGTAAATATGATTGCACCACTGCACTCCAGCTTGGGCGACAGAGCAAGACCCTGTCTTTAAAAAATAAATGTATTTACTTGCTACCAAAGTGACATAGAGCTAATTTCATTTATTTTGAAATTTGGCACACATAAAAGGTTCATTACATTGGGAAACAATCTCAGGTTAGACTTTCTCATTTTATAGGAATTCCCAAGTACCATGATTGCAGAAGAAACAGTGGTGAACAACTTACTTGCAGTCAAATAATTTCAAATGTAAAACTTTAAAAATACTTTCAAATACATTTCTGAAAAAATGATATTATATGAGGAATACATGTTTTACATATTTCATATGGTATGGTGAATGTTAAAATGCCTAGGAGTATGGTATAGAGTATAATATTAACTATTTTACTAAAGGCAGCCAGGATAACATACACCACATTACTTAAGGTTCTGGTCAGCACAGGGCTGTACAATATCAACAGGAAGAAAGGGATACTACCAACCACTATTTAATGAACATCTAATATGTGCTTGGTGCAGTACTAGCTGCTTTGTTAAAAATAATAGCTGTCATTCTAAAAGTGCTTCGTATGCCAAGGCATTGTGCTTTGTGTATGATTTTACATACAAAAATAGCCAGTCTCCCCAAATTACACATTATTAGCCCCAAATTCTCACCTCACTTCTGTCACTAATTAGCTGCACGATCTTGTGCAAAGGACATCACCAACTTAACATGGACCCAGTTTCATAGAATACTGAAGCTGGAAAGCACTTCAGAGTTCATCAAATCCTATCTCTTGCACTGACCAGAAGTATATTCTTTATAACATTCCCAAGAAATTGTTTTGAGGCTTAGGGTGCCCATTTGCACCACGATGTTGCCTCTGTGCGTGGACTGTCTCCCTTTGTTCCTGACTCCCGGATTTGTCCTTATGAGGGAGAGGATGATATCTTCAACCCAGCCAGAGCTGAGGCATGTGGCTCCCCTCAGGACCTTTGACTTATCACAACAAGCCTTCATGCAGTCTTCAGACCTCCCAGGGATGACAAAAACAATCATAGCTAATGTTTACTGAGGGTTTTCTGTGTCCCAGCCACTGTTCCAAGTGCTATGTGTTGATTTTCTCATTTTTCAGCATGTAAGGACCTTCCTACTGCCCTAGCTTCATGACCATCCTACCTTCCTCACCTAGTTCTTGAAGAGAAACACTGATCAGAGATAGGAACCCACAGAGAGCAAGTTAAGGCCAGTGTACTCCTACCCCAAGCAGTATGCAGATGTGTGCAGGGAGTGCTCAAAGTCACAAGATAAATATCTTCTTTCCCAATTTTACTAAAACTATGTTTTTGGGCATGGTGATGGATTAATTTAAGGCATTATTTTTACAGAAAATAAAATTGTATGATGGAAGAATTTAAATGAATTACATTTTTAAAATAACTTAAAATATTTTTACTTTGAAATAATTTCAAAATCACATAAAAGTTTCAGAAATAGTACACAGAGCTCTCCCCTATCTGCTTCACCCAGATTCCCCAATTGTTAACATTGCTGAGCTATTGAGAACAAGTTACAGACATGCTGCCCATTACTCCCTAATACTTCGGTGACAATTTCCTAATAACAAGTACCCTTGCCTACATAGCCAAAGTATAGCCATCAAAACCAGGAAATTAACATTGATCTGTGATTACCACAGATGAAATTTTAAGATAGCATATAAAACATCCATACACACGGCTATTTTATAAATATTAGTTAAGTGAAAGAAGGAGACTTCAGAGAAAGCTCAAGCTGGTTGGGCAATTCTTTGGGTGTTTTACTATAATTAATTCTCCTCTGCAGTTACTAGCACTACAGGGGAAAGTCTGGGAAGCACTGCTCTGCAGGCTCTAGTTGGTCATAAAAATCCATTTCCAGATGTGCCAACTTTGAGGGTAAAGAATGGTCATCCTTACGAATGATAAATGCTTTGGAAAGTCTCGGACCCACCTGGAGCGCCACCAAAGGATCTCTGTAATGTTTTCACCCTGGTCCCAAATAGCAGATGAGACGTCAAGGCCTTTTTTTCTTGCTGCCTGTCCTTATCTATGTTTCCAACAGCCAATGGCATAGCCAGGGACATGCTTGACTAGTTTACCATCAAGTTCTTGGGTACTATTTTTTTTCTCTATCTCACTGTTATAATATATGCATTCAGAAGAGTGTCAGAAATGCAAATGTGTCAGGATCTTGTGCACTAAACACTCTTTTGGATAAACATGCTTTTGTCTCAAATCCAGGAGTCTGCCCATTTGCAGATTGATTTGCCAGTTTATGTATGGTGAATTTGACCTTGAAAAATATCTGAGATCAATTTGGGACCATTAATTGGAGTGCCAGTTTGGAAACATGGCTGGACTCATTTTTTAAAAACCTGAATTCTTGCCTAAACTAGCCATGTGGTCTTGGGCAAAGTGTTTAAGTCCTCTTATTTTTCTTATTTGCAAAATGAAGAAGGCAAGACTGTATGATCTCTGACATCACTGGATCACTGGACAAGAAGTCCTGCAGCGTCACAATTTTATGACTATCTACTCAAAGAGCCCTAAAGCCATGCAGATGTGAAATTTCATCTTGTTCTAAATGCCATGGCACAAGCAGGAATCTGTATTCATTCACACCAGGGTCAGTTTATGCTTTACATGTGTAAGTTCAACTAAGTTTCTATGCAAAGGCCAGAGAAAGTAGTGACCCTAATGTTTTCCCACTATAATCAGTCCATTGGACATGAGCCATGGGCACTGGTGGAGATTTTGAGTAATGGAAGATGAACCAGGAAATGGAGCTGAATCGGAGGGTGAGAAAAATATAAGAGATTTCCGTGATGGAGATGAAAGGATAGTAAGCTTATCTAAGG